ACACATGCGAGGTCATAAATGTGTCACGCATTTAGCACTTGCGTGATAACGAATTATCACAAAATCAGGGGAAAACGTATTTGAAATTAGAAGAAATTGGTTTTATTAAAAATATAAAAACGGTATACTGTAGCTTGAGTCATTAGGGAGCTTTCTTTATCTCGTTCGAGAATCAATTCACAGAGAAAATTTCTCCTTTCTGACCAAAACAACCCAGCCAACCACGCACTTGTAGAATCTAGTAGTCGCGAGCAGTCTTGCGAGTTTATTGTTACAACCAACCGTTTAAAATGTGACAGGAACCCAAAATTCCGCAGGGGTTCCGTAATAATATCGTATACACTCGCGTAGGTCCTATAAGGTTTCAGAAGATTTTTGGTTGATATTTGTATGTCTGGCGTATAAGACGACTCCCTGTTTCATGGTCGGAATTCCTAATTTTTTGTGGTCCTGTATACTGCGTCTAGCTGGATAAATGGAGCCAAATGCAAGGGTAATCTTCCAAATAATACCATTTTATGAGTTTTTAAATCTTCACCACCAAAATCGTATTTTCCCATATTTAAAATTGCTTTCATTGATACAACATTTAGTTGCTTCATTGCAGTAGTAAGCTAGCGTGTTAAGCTGGTTTTTCACTAAGCGAATTTATTCGCACGAATCAAAGAGTCGGCTCGCTTCCTGAGCTCTAATTGGTTGCGCATTTTTTCGCTTCACAAAAATTCCGATAGGAATGTGCATGTGCATAAGCCGACGCTTTTCGCGTAAATAAATTCGCCTAGTAGAAAACCAGATTTACGGACGATCCGCACATAAGACGAACATCCGCACATAAGACGAACATGAATATAAAAATCTAAAATCTGAATGTCGTGCGTATAAGACGACCCCCTTTTTTCAATCGTAGTTTGCTATTTTAATCCTCGTTTATACGTGAGTATAGGCCTATACGGTATTTGTTTTAAAACCATAGGTCACCTGAGCGTTAAAGGATTCCCCATACAGTGACGGATTCAAGGGGGAAATTTTCCATTTTACTTTAATTGATTTATTATTGCCCACTTGAATTGTATAGCCCTAGGTGCTGCAGTGTTCTTTATGTAGAGCGCCATATATAAATGCTCGATGTGCTTATCCGGGTCCGATGGCACCTCCAATTGCAAGCAAGTGTTGCAGAGACTCTGGAGTTAGGTTGCATATGAGAATGAAGAAGATAATTCTGATAGCAACATTGATTTATTGCTTTAAGTACTGCGACAATAACATTCAGAGGCGAATTTAGAA